TCTGAGTTGTACATTCATGTGCGAGTCGGATTTGAAATATAAATTGTTAAGTGGGCGAAATCTTACAGGTTGCCTAAAAAATATGAGCAACTCCAATAAATGAGGGCTTACGAACTGTCTTGAAAAATATACATGTCGGCCTGAATAAGTGATGGCTTACGAATTGCCTCGAAAGGTATATACTGCATATAATTTGTCAAAATTTCAATAGCATTTCCTCTGTAATATGGACTAAACTACCATGTAATACAAAACAGTATATCCACAGCACATATACCAAATTAAATGGGGTCCAATTGCCCCTCCAAATTGCTCATGACGATAAAGAGAATAATGATATATCAAATTTCTGCAATTTATAATATGTAGAGAGTCTATTGTATGTTATAACAAGTCGTATGCTCGCACAGTTCAGAGTAACAATATTGCTAAAGTAGATAACGTAGCATGCATACTGACTGTAGTGAAAATAGTAGCATGACATGCTAGTAGTAATGTGAAGTACGTACTCGACATTAATAATATAATGCATATGCTGGCATAATAATGTAATGATACTAAGATACCAGTATCACAATGGCCCCCCCAAGTCTTGGTATAAATATTTATATACAGGTCGAGTTGAGATATAAATCACTTAAAGATAGGCAACTCGACGCTCCGAAGATAAGTAACTGCAATAAAGCTCATGCAGAGGTGAGACTCCATATATAAGCAATAAAGGTGATGATCTGAAGATAAGTAGCAGAGGAGATGCTCTGAAATAAGCAGTTGTGATAAGATGATGCAGAGGCGATGCTCTGAAATAAGTTGTAGAGGAGATGAGCTGATGCAGAAGCGAGACTCTGAACATAAGCAGTCGAGAAGAAGCGGTATTGTAGAAGCGAAGTCCCGGCTGAAGGATAGAGTATTGAATGTTGGCAGCTCTGAGAAGAGTTATTGTAGAAGCAAAGTCCTAGCTGAAGGACGAAGCGATACGCGTTGGCAACTTGGGAAAAGTTGTTGCAAAGCGAAGTCCTAGCTGTAGGATGAAGTGATAAGTGTTAGCAGCTTTGATGAAAGCTGTTGCAAAGCGAAGTCCCAGTTGAAGGATGAAGTGAAGGCCTGGCTGAAGGACGATGTGATAGACATTGGCAACCCGGAGAAGAGTTGTTGCAAAGTGAAGTCCTAGCTATAGGATGAAGTGATAAGTGTTGGCTTCTTTGAGGAAAGCTGTTGCAAAGCGAAGTCCCAGCTGAAGGACGAAGTGATAGGCGTTGGCAACTCGGAGAAGAGTTGTTGAAAAGTAAAGTCCTAGCTATAGGATGAAGTGAGAAATGTTGGCAGCTTTGAGGAAAGCTGTTGCAAAGTGAAGTCCCAGCTGAAGGACGAAGTGAAGTCCTGGCTGAAGGATGAAGTGATAGGAATTGGCAACTCGGAGGAGAGTTGTTGCAGAGTGAAGTCCTAGCTGAATGACGAAGCAATAGGCGTGGCAACTTTGGTAAAGCTGTTGCAAAGAGAAGTCCCAGCTGAAGAAAAAAGCGATAGGCTTTGGAAATTTGAAGAAGAGTTGCTGCAAAGAGAAGTCCTAGCTGAAGGACGAAGCGATAGGCGTTGGTAACTTTGGGAAAAGCTATTGCAAAGAAAAGTCCCAGCTGAAGGACGAAGCGATAGGCGTTGGCAACTCTGAGAAGAGTTGTTGCAAAGTGAAGTCCTAGCTGTAAGATGAAGTGCTAAGTGTTGGCAGCTTTGAGGAAAGCTGTTGCAAGGCGAAGTCTGAAGGACGAAGTGAAGTCCTAGCTAAAGGACGAAGTGATAGGCGTTGGCAACTTTGAGAAAAAGTTGTTGCAAAGCGGAGTCCTAGCTGAAGGACTTACAGAAGTGAAGTCCTGGCTGAAGGACGAAGTGATAGGCGTTGGCAACTCGGAGAAGAGTTGTTGCAAAGCGAAGTCCTAGCTCAGTAAGTAGAAAGAATGTGAGAACACTGNGATCCGCTTCACCAGAAGTGGCACCGCCACATCTCCTAATGAAGTGGACAACCTTAAGGTGGCCCCGCCCGTGGGGGCGTACGCACCTTCGCAAGGGAAAAGAATGTGTGAGAACACTGTAGATCCACTTCACCAGAAGTGGCATTGGCACCTTTCCTAATGAAGTGGACATCCTTGAGGTGGCCCCGCCTGTGAGGGCATACGCATATTAGCAAGGGCTTCTTCCATGGTGTCTGATCCAGCCATGAAAGGCATAGTCTTCGTAAATATAAATGTGGGCCCACCTCTTTCATTACGAAGCAGTAAATGACTTCCTTGCATGGTGGATGATTCATCCATGCCAAGGGCCTCCTATATGGGGAACAACTCGTCCATGTAGGGAAAATGTAAGCACCCTAAAGAGGGGTAAAGCTGTGACATAGTTGAAGCGGAAGTAATGCTCTGAAGGGATAGACAACTGTGATGCAGCTAAAACAGAGGCGTTACGAGCTCTTTGAAGACAAATGTAGAGTTTGGCTAGACGAGATTGAGAGGCGAAAAATAAACATCTTACGAAACCAGGAATAAGCATCTTGTGAAGCGTAGAATAGACATCCCGCGAATAGTCGAACTATTGGAGTCTTACAAACTGGTCTCCAAATGACGAGGACTTACAGTTCGGCTCGACGATAGTGAGAAGCGAGGAATCAACATCTCGCGAAGCCAAGAATAAGCATCTGGCGAAGCGGAGAATAGACATCTCGCGAATAGTCGAACTATTGAAGTCTTACAACTTGGCCTCGAAATGGCGAGGACTTACAATTCGGCTCGACGATAGTGAGATGCGAGGAATAAACATCTCGCGAAACCAAGAATAAGCATTTTGCGAAGCGGGGAATAAACATCCCGCAAATAGTTGAACTATCGGAGTCTTACAAACTGGCCTTGAAATGACAAGGACTTACAGTTTGGCTCGACGATAGTGAGAAGCGAGTAATAAACATCTCGCGAAGCCAGGAATAAGCATTTGGCGAGCGGGAAATAGGCATCCCACAAATAATCAAACTATCGAAGTCTTACAAACTAGCCTCGAAATGACGAGGACTTACAGTTCGACTCGATGATAGTGAGAAGAGAGGAATAAATATCTCGCGAAGACAAGAATAAGCATCTGGTGAAGCGGGAAATAGACATCCCGCGAATAGTCGAACTATCGA